GGTATATACAATGACATAGAGTGGACCATCATTACATAAGCTCAACATCCCAAACGCTGCATGATAGTGTCTAACATACATTATTGTTATCCATGATTCCAACCATCTTCTGAACATGGGTTTGGTATTTTTTCAGCAAAATAGCTTAGCAACAGATTTTTTCTGTGTTCTCTATTCTGTTCTCCTGTACAGTTACGCAGAATCGAGCCGCTTTCATCGACACCGTCAAGATGATACTACAAGACATGGTGCAAAGCGCCGCCGCACCACAGCAGACCAAAGCAACCAAAACCGGTGCTCACCACCTGAAGAACGAGGCAACAGCCTTGTCGTTGGCAAACATCGATGCAGCGTTGCCTGGTCAGCATGCTCCATTGCCCGACTGGCATTGGTACAACAGACTGATGGATCAGCAGCGCAAGCAGCAAGCTATCACCACCGCCAGTGCCGCTCCCACAACTAATCACGCCGACGTGCCACCCGCAGAAGCACACGACCTCAACTCCCTCAGGGTGGTGGGAAACCAGTTTGGCACGGAGGTCCTTGCAAAGAGTAGAGCGGAGCGCAGCAGACCGGAGAGGCGTAGGGGCAAGGTGAGAGAGGCTGGTGGCGACGACAGCTACGGATCCGGTACTGACTACGACAGCGATGCCACCAGTGTCTACCAAGGTGATGAAGGAGCAGCTGAGCGCTTGACGAATGGCCGCCGGATGGGAGAAACCGGAGGTGGGTTAGCGTAACATGTAGCGTTCTGTATAGTGGCCAAATTGTCCAGCTCCCCTCAGCTATCTCAAATCCCAAAATAACAGTGGACTTTCTGGAGACACCGCTACTACCCTGTACATGCCGTTGTGTGCATAAGTCGTAATCATACATGTACGTGTTGTATGATTGTGTTGCCTGGTAATCACCTATGAGTAGAACTTGGAGTCACCTGGAGGAATGAATATCTCTATCCCTAGGGTGTACATGTAACTGGTGATCATGGGTGCCTTGTCACCCGCATCATGCCTGAATCATGTATGTGTCCTGCTTGCTCGCACAGGCGATAGCGACCACTCTGGATCCACGGGAGAGAACACGACTGCCGCTGATTTCAGCGACAAGGAGTCAGTTGTCGCGCCGACAAAACATAACAATGTGCGGCTTCACTTGGAAGGCAGGACACCACCTGGGAACTCCGGCGGGCTAAGTCCAATGCCCGGGGACGACAACATCATGTTGACAAAGTCACTTCCAGCGCTGGACAAAGGTGAGCGACTAACTACATTGACACAGTACAGACGGCGCATTGTGACGTCTTGCTTGAAAAGAGGTTCATATCATACTGTGCTGATTGCAACCTTTGTGAAGCCCCTTGTGCCTGCTACACTGTATCACGAGATCATGTAATGTGTTCACGGTCCGGTTTTTTTTTACACAGGGATGTCATTTTCTGCGCTGGAGTGTCTTTCAAGGTCATACACAAAATTTCATCAATGCTGGGTGTATGTGAAATGGCAAAGAGAATAGAGTAGTCCATAATGAATTCTGATCTTAGGAGCAGGATGTGAGACCTCATGTTACAATGAGCTCAAGATTGAAAGGGAGATGCTCATATCATCTATCCCTAGTTGCCTTTGTCTTCCCCACAGTGTAGTGGCATTTGATCACAGATGGGTCTCCTGGGGTGGAAATGAATTTTGCTCCTTCTGGTATTCAAGCCCACCGTGCAACCTCATGTTTAGAAGGCCTACGTTCCAACCAATGTACAAACCACACACATCATGATTGCATGTTCCTTTGCGTCCATTATGCAGACATCAACCCTTCGGAGCTCATGGCCAAGTTCCGTAGCAACCTGGCTGACTTGGACGCTGAACGACTTCAAGTGACTGGCTCTCCAGCCTCGTTCACAATGGTGTCGCGGGCAAGCAGTGCAAACAGGTCTCGCCGAAACTCAGCAAAAGCATTGCAACCTAAGCCTCACAAAAGAGGAGTGGAGGAAAGCAACGTGCAAGATGGACGCTACAAGAACAACGCATCAACGGCGCATACCGAGGGTGCCACTCACCATGATTCCAATGACTCGGGCGTGAGCGGCTCGGACACTGCTCAAACAAGCCACACCAGAGCTGGTCAGAGAGGAGCACACGGTGCACATGATGGTGATCATGACAGCAGTGATAGTGATGGCACACAGCACGGTGGAAGCGCGCAACGACGTGGCAAGGACGCCTCATTGCAGTTTACTACGCCATCGTCCCCATCGTCACTCGATTCAAGCGGTACTGCAGGCCATAATGCGGACCGTTTTGGCAATGCGTTGCCTCATGGGATTGCAGGCAAATCAGACAGAACATTAGCTGGTGATGGAAAAGACAGAGCTGGAGAAGGCAAGGACGGCAACAGTGAACACACTGGTCAACCGAACAAACACTCTACTGATTCCAACACAGAACAATCTGGAAGAGGGGGTCCCAGCACAGCAAATGACACCTCCGGCAACGGAGAGAACACAGGCTCAGAACGTAACCATGGAAACGATTTCAGTGGTTCAACCGGAGCTGATCAGAGACATGGTGAGCAAGATGCTCTGGGAAACGGAGGAAAACTTCGAAACAATGGTCAGTATCAAAACGGAGATCCACATCAGAGGAAAGGTCGATTTCAAAACGGAGAACTTGGCGACAAATCTTTAGGTTCGGATCAGCACCCGCCCGGGACTGCACTACCCGATGGGCATGGTGCGGGAACTCATCACGATGGTAAAGGCATCCAGCAAGGCAATGCAGGTGTTGGTGGCGGTGGAGGAGCAGCAAAGGGCAACAACCGTAGGCCGCACACCGATGCGCTTTACAGAGGTGGCGAGGAAGCAAGAGGTACAGACGGGAGCGGAAACAACAGACGACATGGTGGCTCGGACAGCGAGGACCGTCAACTGCTGGTATCTGGAATGGGCAGCAGAGCTTCCAGCCGAGAGCAAATTTACAGACGGCCAAGTTCCGACTGCAGAACGGCGTCTCGTGGCTCAAGGCAGCGCCGTCGTCATCGACCAGCCGATGGGAAAGTAGTTCCTGTAATTCAAGTATTAGAAGAGGGTGATGAAGAGTTTGTGCCAACAGGAGAGGTTGACGGTGATAATGATGAAACAATTACGGTATCTTCGCCAGAAGGTGATCAAGACCTATCACCTGAGGAAAATGAAGACAAAACCCTCCTCAGTAATCCAGTACGTGACTATTTAGCCCAGAAATCCTGCCCGAATTTCGGTGCTGCCGCTGCGTCAACTGAAAAGGGCCCACGCGGGAAGGAGAGTCCCGAGCAAGTTCGACAGCGGCTCATTGCTGGTGCAATCAGTGAGAGTAAGCTGTTGGACATGTTTGGTCGCAACCGCTTCACCAGACCATACACATTCTCATACTTCCCACTATCTGATCAAGCGTATCAGCCCCCGCCTTAGATGCAGACTGAGTATACTAGAAATCAACTGACCGAAAGCTCTAAATCTCACCACCATAGATGCACACACACACACACGCGCGTGCGCACACACACACACACACACACCTGTCCTGTCCTGTCCTGAACATTGCCGTAAAACGGTCACATGTCCCCTCATACGAGGGGCCGACAGACACACGGGGTAGGTCGTTTAATACGGTACACAGCACGCTCCGCAGGCTAGCGGCCAACGAGAGTTCGGGTATACTTTGCGCAGCTGTGGAGCTGGAAACCCCTCTTTGATCGGCAGCACCTGCCACATGCGCTGCACACATACACACGCACGCACACGCACACACACACACACACACACACACACACACCTGTCCTGCCACTGCCACAAGGGTCACGTGGCACACAAACACACACAAACACACACACACACACACACTACTACTACTACTACTACTACTACTACTATGTACAGCTACCCTATCGGGCCACGCCGCTCCCAGAAGCGGGAGACAACGACAAGAAGAGAGAAGAGAAGAGAGAGAAATCGCAAAGTCAACAGAATTGGGCATGGCGTTGCACAAAAACACACACACATACACACATGCACACACACACACACACACACACACACACAACACCCCCCCCCCCCCACACACACACACACGTACACACACACACACACAGAAAATGACCAACTCCACCAAAATATCCCCCTGATCCTAAATCGGATCCCAAAGTTATAATTAAATGTTCTTCCTGTGTCCGTTCATGCGCCACTTTACTTCTTTTGAATCAAGAGAAGCTCCCTTTATCACATGATACCTGTCGGTTCTCCAAACTATGGAATTTAATTTTTTCATGATATTTCTCACAACCTGTTTCTGAAGACAAACTCCTAACTATTTATCATTCTATAGCTGCCATAAAGAAATAGCATACAACACATTTTCAGTATGACTAATGACTGCACTAGTCTGTGCACGAAGCAAGTTTTTAATTCTACTCCGAATTATAAATTTCGATCATTTCACATTCCTAGCATGATCTCTCATCAGAAATTCTTTCAGCAATCTCAGCCACTTTCTCCATTGAGGATACACGACACGTATACGTGTGTGCAGTCCTGCTGCAGAGTAGTAGAGACTAGTACTAGTTTCTTCACAGCGATCACGACTCACTTGCCCTACTGTAATGTAGCAATGCATGCTGGATTACACTCACTGCCGTGTGTAGGCTTGGGGACGACACAAAAAATATTAATAGCCGTTGGCGTTGCATCGCCCTTGGCTTGCAAGCTAAAAAAAGGAAGCAGTGCTGGACGGAGCAAGTGAAACTCTGCTGAATGCCGTCACTTGCATGCATGAACATTTTGACGATATGCATGTGTGTGTGTGCTACTGGGAAGTTGGATGCTACTACATGTACCATGGGTCACCTGGTCACTGAACGAAAACAAACCTTTGAGTTTTCGTAAAAACGTTTGCTGTTGTGAGGGCAAGGCTACTTTGCAGTGGACTCACGGCCAAGAACTCAAGGACACCAGTTTTTCACAATGTTGCCAATATGTTTATGAAAGCTCTCTAAACCAGTTCTTATTTTGCAGAATGCAGCCCATAGGACAGTGCTATGTGAAACTTTTGGTCTGAGGAGGAAAATGTCTAAGAGTTGCAGTGAAAATTGTGGGTCTGAATAGAAATCTGTGCCTATGGTAGAGAACTCCCGGCTCCCTCCCGAAACATATTGAAATGTCTTCAGATATTGAAGTATATCGAATAGCATAATACATCTACAATCTTCATGTACATAATTATCATGAATCCAGTGTGGCCAAAGTGCTAAAATATCACAGTGGCATGATAATGTAAAAACTGATAATCATACTGAGCCCTCGTAGCACATGAAAAATAGCTAGACATGCACTGGCAGCAGTTCACGTCACATGAGAACCATGGCCTCCTCGTACATTCCACTGCTGAGCAGAAATGCGTAGAGGTCGTTTCGCTGGCGTCCGGCCGCAGCCCACATGGATATAATGTACTTGGCCGGCGACCGTTCACGCTCACGTCGCCCTATGCCCAGAATGTCATCGTCACTCAGGTGGTGAACGTGATGACGAGCCAACAGCCTCCAGTCATGCTCACCTGCAGGGTACCACAACAGAATGCTGATGTTGATCTCAATGACTAGATACTTGAAAATAAAATGTAATACAGAATTTCATCAGTGCATCCAGTACGGTTTTAATTTCGTTCCTTTGAAATAGATTTTCTCGACAGCCAGATTTTGTTGTCATGGTTGAGCCAACTTTCTTATAAAGTGTAGTCTGTTTGGGGCCTGTCTTCTAGCACTAAGCAGGTTTGTAGACCTCGCACAAGCTGACCAACGGTGATCTATACTCACTTGAAAGGTCAACTAGTTATTAATTTTAGTGACTCGTGACAAACTTCAAACTGATATTTCATGACGGTGTTTTTACTGAACTCATACCACCGTATCAGCTGTTCGTAAACTTTTAAAAGCGTAGGATTTCGAAAGACATAATCACAAACAACCATTGTCCTGCATGCCATGAAACACTTGAACGAATTATTCGAATCCAAGGTTTTACATGTACATGCCGGGGGCCTCCATGTGATGACTGCATTGCAATAATCTCTTCTACTAGGTATGATTATATGTACAGGTGTAGTAGCTGGCCCTCGGAGACAATTTCACACACTCAAACAAAGCACTCACTTTGTGGTTTCACGAATACTCGTTAGGACAGAATTATTAGTTACACACTCGGCAAGTAAAGATAAGAAGTGAAAGGAGCACAAGAAAAGAACAATGCAAGAAGACAAACACGCGGCGAACGGCAGCCATGTTTTTAGGTCATCAACCAATGAGCAATCTATATAAACCGGTTGCCGACGAAATTCATAGGCATGCAGACTGATCCCAATCTTCGATGTGTCCACAGAACACCGCTATTCATAACCGAGTAATGCTATTAAAATCATCATTGAGATGCTTCGGCAAAGTCGTGGCACAGTGACGCACAAGCTGCCTCACGCTGTACAGTCTACTCGCGATAAGTCACGCACTTTTAAGTCACGCACTCGCGATAAGTCACGCACTTTTTCCTCCAGGACACCCATCTCAAGATTTTTTTATTTTTCGGGATTTTGTGAATATTTGCGAATGATGTGGTTTTCAATGATGGAGCTTGAATACTGTAAAGGTAAGAATATAATTATTATGTGCATATTGTATGAGAGCCTTCTCCCTCAGGATCACCCATGACAATCCAAGTTTGTCAGTTACAAACTTCTCCCTTTGAAGCAAAATATACTTCACTAGCCGCTCCTCAATTTCCCGAACTGGGAACTTCTGTTGCAGACTCCCTGTGGACCAGACGGATTAGCATCGGCGAGTTTGCCAGCTTCAGCATCGATCAGCCAGCCGCGGAACATCGCCTCCGGAACATTGTTCAACTTCGCAAATTTTCGAGCGGAGGTTTTTCCACTCTCACGATAGAGACGAACCAAACGCAGTCGATCAGCCACTGTTCGCTGTTCTTTCGTTTTCTTATGAGAAGGCATCGTCAAGCAAAGGGAAATGAAGTATTTACACGACGGAAACAGAAGTGCGTCTTGTCAAATCCCTACCAAAACGGCAAAAGTAACGGAACGTCGTTACTTGTCTTTCTCGATCATGCCTTCATATCGATCATGGCTTCACGCTGTGGTAGATCTACGTCTCGTGTACAGCAGTGTACAGTGTCAGTCAGTGTAGACTACAGACAGTGTACCGTGCGCATGCAGCTCAGTGCTTGTACGCGTGTTCAGCACACATGTCCATATGCAGAAGAAAAAATGACGGCTGTACATATGCATGACGTGGTGCATAATGATTATGTAAGTCGCGCACTCGCGGTAAGTCACGCATTTTCTATTCCAGGACACTGTGCGTGACTTATCGCGAGTAGACTGTATACGTAATACCCAAAAGCAGTTCTGCTGACTTGCACTGCACACACAGCGACCATAAGCTCTTCTGCTGACTCACCATTATGACAACATTCGCAGAAGCTCTTTACCGAGAGGTATTGAAGGTACACAAAGTTGACTATTTTGGTATATACTAGAACTCCCTTATTCAGGCAATCTGGGTCCGAGCACTGCCCCGCAACTAGGAATTGACCGCAACTCAGAACGTATACTTATTGAGTCTGACTAATAATTTTATGCCAAGCAATAGTTCATGTCTATGGGGCAGTTTTTCGTAGAAAAGCCAATTTTTAGGACTCTAGTGGGGTCGGAAGTGTCAAGTGGCCGGAAGAGGGGCGTCCGGAAAAAGGGAATTTACTATATACCACTTACCAATCTTCTCGTTATCAAGTTTGTCACACAGAGCCATCAGCACTGAGAACGGAAGGTAGAACAGGCCCTGCTCAGCATCTTGACATCGCAGCGGCAGCTCTTTGCAAGCCGTGTCTCCGTCGGTGTCATTCTGCTTTGGGCACCTCCTCAGCCCGCTACATCCTGAATGCAGGGACAACATGAGATCACGAGTGCATCAACAACGACAGCTAGGACTATTTGCTTGTGTCATTTTTGCATGAGGAGTTATGATAAGCCAATGTCGCGTGTTCTGCCTTCATTCTCCGAAGCACGATTCCCACGAGTGTCTTTGAGACAGGAGAGCACTGATGGTAAGCTCAGGAAATGCTTTGACTGGTTATGACCACCTACCTATAATATTAGGACACGAAGTTGCTAGAGGTCTACGTGAAACAAATCAGACTGATTACTTGTCCTCCTATTCCCCTCCGAGTCATGATGTGCAATCTCCATCCAAGCTTTACTACGTCAACAATACATGGTGATCATCGGCATTGCATTAGAACAACACAGGCCGGTGTGCCATCCGGCTATAACGTACAATGGAGCTAGTATTTGCAGCAGGCATTTTGTATGTCTGCCAAAATGGAAAATATGGTATCCTTGTACGTGTATGGCAATTTGAGATGATCACATAAATTGGAAGGGGGGTTCCAATTCCATATCCATCTGGATATTTTATTCCTCGGTTGATTGGTGTAGCCTAGAGACTAAAAGACTGGAGTGAAGATTAACGGATATTGTGGATGGCGAAAGTGGAGTCTTTATGTATCTTGAGAAATGCCACCAGTACAAGCCATCAACAACGCAGACACAAGCACCATTTCTGTGCGGCAGTGTTGGTTAGACTCAGAGTCTCTGGGATGGTCTGTACTGTCCCCGGGGAAAATCGCGGAAAAAATCGCAAAAAAACGCGGCATAATAATTATGGCATAATTTGCGGTGAATTTGCGGTAAATATGCGGTAAATATGCGGTGAATATTATTGATATGCGGCAAGTTTGCAGTTGATATGAGGCAATTTTCAGTGAGTATGTAGTGAAATCAATCAGTTACAAGTCTCTGGTGTAAGCACTCGTCATATTTGAGTACAAAGCCGCCACGATGAGACGTTGCTGACCGAACAGTGCACTGTGTGGACGTGTAGTGCAACAAAAAAGTTCAAAAAACGCGGGAAAATCGCGGAAAACGCGGTCTTTTAAAAAATCGCAAAAAACGCGGGGGGGGGGGGGGACACGGCCGCGGAATCGGGATTTTCCCCGGCGACTGTACGCATTTTCCCAGCCAGGGCGTGGGGTAGACTGCAGCAGTGAGGCACTGATGCTAGCGCTTCATTCTATACACGCGTAATACATCTGGTGTAACCAGGGTGCAGTAGTAGTTCTGTGTAGCCAGGGTGCAGTACTGTGTAGCCAGGGTGCAGTACTGTGTAGCCAGGGTGCAGTACTGTTGTTGTTGTTGTTGTTGTTTTCTTTATTTGAATTCGCTAAAACCAAACGGACAGAACTGTCCAGTGACAAGGGAGCGAATGATGAGCGTCATAATCACTATGCATCAAAACATCTCAGGACAAAATGAGACAGACTATATTAAGGGAGGGTCTGCACAACACTTTTACATAAAGGGGAGTACGAGAACAAAGGCACGGCAGAAGTCGAAGCAAGAAAGCAATCAACGCCAGAGATATTTTTGTCCACCAAAAACAGAGAGAGAGAGAGAGAGAGAGAGAGAGAGAAAGAGAGAGAGAGAGAGAGAGAGAGAGAGAGAGAGAGAGAGAGAGAAAGAGATCCGAGAGCGAGAGAGAGACAGAGAGAGAGAGACAGAGAGACTAACATATGAAGGCTGAGCCTCTACAACAGGGCTTTACGTCTGAAAACAACCGCACGAATTAACAAGCAAGTTGTCAGAGAACAGGGAGAGAGACGGGCAGGCAGGCCAGCAGGCAGGCATATAACGAAAATATGGCGATAGTGATCCGTCTGACCTCAAGGGTTCATGCTGTGTGGAACAGCAGCAGTGCGAAATTGGGCCGGGTGCGGTATGGCCCGCACCTCGCTGGGCAACGCATTCCAGAGCCTAGCTCCTTGGAACGCGAGACAACCCTTACCCAGCTCAGTGCGGGTTGGCGGTGGTCTTAGACCCATAGATAATTGCAGCCGAGTAGGAGCGCCACTGGTTGGTAGCAACAGCACTTGCAGTGTGGGGCTAGCACGGGAGTAGCGGCAGCGCCAAACCAGGAAGATGAGCTTCTGGATGAAGATCTCCCGGACACGGTAGGCGCCGAGTTGGACTAGCAGGTTAGGGGGGTAGACTGTGTAGCCAGGGTGCAGTATTGTGTAGCCAGGGTGCAGTACTATGTAGCCAGGGTACAGTACTGTGTAGCCAGGGTACAGTACTGTGTAGCCAGGGTGCAGTACTATGTAGCCAGGGTACAGTACTGTGTAGCCAGGGTGCAGTACTGTGTAGCCAGGGTACAGTACTATGTAGCCAGGGTACAGTACTGTGTAGCCAGGGTGCAGTATTGTGTAGCCAGGGTGCAGTACTGTGTAGCCAGGGTACAGTACTGTGTAGCCAGGGTACAGTACTGTGTAGCCAGGGTGCAGTACTGTGTAGCAACAGCCTCTTTTACGGGCAAAATAAACACAATGAATATTTTTTCCCAAGTGTTCCAAAAACTTCAACTCAAAGTTCTAGAAAGAAAAGAAAAAAACGAAAAAACACGCAAAAAAACAAAACAGCATAATAATGTATACCTTCTTAGGTAAACAGCAGCAAGTTCAACTTCAAGTCAATATTGTGTAGCCAGGGTGCAGTACTGTGTAGCCAGGGTACAGTACTGTGTAGCCAGGGTACAGTACTGTGTAGCCAGGGTGCAGTACTGTGTAGCCAGGGTGCAGTACTGTGTAGCCAGGGTACAGTACTGTGTAGCCAGGGTGCAGTACTGTGTAGCCAGGGTGCAGTACTGTGTAGCCAGGGTGCAGTACTGTGTAGCCAGGGTGCAGTATTGTGTAGCCAGGGTGCAGTACTGTGTAGCCAGGGTACAGTACTGTGTAGCCAGGGTGCAGTACTGTGTAGCCAGGGTGCAGTACTGTGTAGCCAGGGTGCAGTACTGTGTAGCCAGGGTGCAGTACTGTGTAGCCAGGGTGCAGTACTGTGTAGCCAGGATACAGTACTATGTAGCCAGGGTGCAGTACTGTGTAGCCAGGGTGCAGTACTGTGTAGCCAGGGTGCAGTATTGTGTAGCCAGGGTGCAGTACTGTGTAGCCATTGAGAATGCCGCGGGATGCCTCCAGCTGTGTGGAGGGCAAGAGTCAGGCATAGAGGCTGCCATCCACGCCATGCGAACCGCCTGCGACCAGAACGATGTGGAGGGAGTCCTGTTTGCAGACGCATCCAACGCGTTTAACTCGCTCAACAGACAGGTATGCCTCCAGAATATCCGTCATCTCTGTCCGGAAATCGCGCTGGCTCTCATCAACACGTATCGCTCACCGGCGGCTCTCTACGTGGATGGCGAGGCCATCATGTCAGTTGAAGGTACCACCCAGGGCGACCCATTGGCCATGGCAATGTACGCGTTGGGCACCATCCCGCTGATCCGAGTCGCTGCCAAGAGTGACGCCCTGCAAAGCTGGTATGCTGATGATGCCAACGCAGCAGGGAAGATCCCCCGCCTCCGAGCCTGGTGGAACATCATCGAGCGGAGAGGTCCAGAGTTTGGCTATCACCTTAACGCAGCCAAGTCGGTTCTTCTTGTTAAGCCCGAATGCGCTGAAGCTGCACGGGCAATCTTCGCCGACACCGATATCGTCATCAAGACGGACGGCAACCGACACCTTGGAGCCGCCCTTGGATCACCCGAGTATAGGGCCTCCTTTGCTTTGGCGAAGGTGAAGGCATGGCAAGAGGAGATCCGGGAGTTATCCACCGTGGCCTCCACCCAGCCACAAGCAGCTTACGCAGTGTACACCAACGTTCTCCGGCACAAGTGGTCATTCATCGCCCGCACAATGCCAGGAGTTGCCCCGCACCTCGAACAGCTGGAGTCCACCATCTCCGAGTCGTTTATTCCCGCTCTTCTTGGTCGTCCCCAGCCCGGAGAGACGGAACGCCAAGTTCTCGCGCTCCCAAGCCGCTACGGAGGCATGGGGATTGTCTCCCCAGTATCTCTTGTGAACCAGTTTCCTTCCTCACTTATGATCACCGAGAGCTTAGTTCAGCGCATTTTGAACCAGGATACACCGCCACAGGAGGAGGCGGACAACACCAGGGCAGCCAAAGCTAAAGCCAGGGCAGACGCCAGAAAGAAGGAGCAGCGTCATGCCAAGGAGGTGTACGATGGCGTGGATGGAGACCTGCAGAGGTCCATGGATCTTGCGGCCGAAAAGGGTGCGTCGAACTGGCTCACCTGTCGACCACTCAAGCAGCATGGGTTCTCGCTACACAAGGGCGCGTTTCGAGATGCTGTCTGCCTCCGCTACGGGTGGACCCCGCCCCATCTCCCCCAGAGCTGTGCCTGTGGAGCTGCCTTCACTGTCCCGCACGCCTTGTCTTGCCCAGTAGGTGGCTATCCGTCTCTGCGGCACAACGAGCTGCGGGACTTGACCGCTACCATGCTCACATCAGCAGCTCATGATATCAGCATTGAGCCACGCCTTCAGCCGTTATCTGGTGAGAATTTTCATCACCGGACGGCTATCCGTGAGGATGGTGCCAGGCTGGATGTTGCTGCCAGCGGGGTATGGGGTGGCCGGTTTGAGCGAGCTTTCTTTGATATTCGGGTGTTCAACCCTCATGCTCGTTCGAACTCGGTCCACTCCATCCCCGCCGCATACGCAAAGCATGAGAAGCGTCGGCATTATGAGGAGCGTGTTCGTGAGGTGGAGCATGCCACCTTCGTTCCCCTCGTATTCAGTGCCACCGGAGGCCAAGGCAAGGCGGCAACTGCCCTTTACAAGCGGCTCGGACTGATCATCAGCAACAAGAAGAATGAGCCTTACTCCATCACAATGGCATGGATCAGATGCAGGTTGGGGTTCGCCCTTCTTCGCTCGGCCATTATGGCCCTCCGAGGACACCGGTCCCGGAGCAGAGTTGCAGTAGCTCAACCATCATCGACCGAACTGGTGGCGGCTGAGTGCAATTTGCATTTCTGAACTGTGGCATGTGCGTAGCACTCAAACTGGTGAACATGTGCGCACTGCACTGACTGTCTTTAATGCTCCTCATTGTTTTTGTTTTTATTCATTTATTTTTTTACCAGGCGTGGGCCATCCCCTGAAAAAAGAAAAGAAAAAAAGCCAGGGTACAGTACTGTGTAGCCAGGGTGCAGTACTGTGTAGCCAGGGTGCAGTACTGTGTAGCCAGGGTGCAGTACTGTGTAGCCAGGGTGCAGTACTATGTAGCCAGGGTACAGTACTATGTAGCCAGGGTGCAGTACTATGTAGCCAGGGTGCAGTAGTGTGTAGCCAGGGTGCAGTACTGTTCACGGCGTACTGTAAAACCGGAAAGTCTAACGAGTCACAAAGTCTAACGTTTTAACGACCAATTTTTTCGTTGTTAATTTTGAAGAAACAGATGAGTGGCCAGGTAGCCATCATTAAACTTTCTGCACGGTATCATGCCAAAATTACAAAAACGTTAAACTTTCTGGTCGTTAAACTTCCGGTTATAGAGTATGTGGGCTGGCTATGTTCACACATACCAGGTGACCAATTGATCATACTGTGGGAGGGAGAGAACACTTTCTTGTTATCCTCCTAAAGAAAATAGTAGCCTCGAATTGGCGAGCAGGAAAGAAGTGTGCAGCATACACATAATTTGTGCTCATGTGGTCCGATGCTACTACTACTACTGGTGTAGCAGTAAAACGGCTCACAACAGACCTGGAACTACGTTTGGCAAAATGCCAGGTGCCCATACTTGGCCATAGGCCTTTCACACGACGGTACTTGCTAGCGTTAGCATGCTCCTATGGTTCTACGATGCGCGGCACAACAGTTCACACGACGTCTAGGTGTGCTGACACAGCCCACACAAACCAGTACTGGAAACACGAAAATGAAATCGAAAACGCACAGACTGGGATCATGGTGTAGTGAACAGGGCTACAGTTCCGCGATTCAGATTTCCCGCCAATCAGTGGTCTCCTCGGTGTTGTGTTTTTTTTAATCATTTTAGTTTGTTGCCTCAACAGTACGATGTATAACTTCAAAGAGGCCCGAACAGGAAACAAAAGAACTGGGGTCATAAGAAAGGGAGGGAGGGAGAATAAAAAGGTGGAGCATTTCGTCGAAGCCCGCTTACTGCAAGAAACGCGATCCTCACACGAAGCCGAGAAGACGGGACTTTTTCTCGTCGCGTAAAATGCCTACTACAATCAGGCAGGCCTGGTTGGACAAACTCGGCAGCAGCAGTACTAGTTGATTACAGTGACTGATATTATTGGGTAAAACTCACGGTCAAATAAAGCAGGTACAGCAATTTAACATCAACTGAGGCTATCACAGACGAGACCGGCATTAGGGTCAAGTTCGGCGTGAAAGTGCAGGGCAAAGTCTTTCCAACCGTATCGCAACCCACATGCAAGTCAATAACTAGTAGTAAGTTCTGAATCTGACGCCTGATTGTGGCATGTTTGCATACCACGGCAGCGGAAAATTCTCCCTTTATCCACCTGGGTGTGCAGCTCCATGATACTAATTTTCCATCTTACGGTCAACGAGGACATGAAGATCAAGATTAATAATTATAATAGAATGTTATGTACAACTATTCAAAAGTCATAAAGCAAGCAGCTCTGCGAACAGATTGCTAACTGTTAGCAAGCTGTTAGCTAGGAAGACTACCGATTAAGACCATTGGGTAACTTTTAGAAATCCATCAAAGCTAGGTAGGCTGTGAGGAGGGCTCGCCTACTCGAGTTATAAATAATGTTTATCTTCAATTCACAATTATATGCGTCAAGCATCCATGATGGCATCAGGAAGGGCATTACCAAGTAAGCAGTGAGATTAGAACTGGCACCAGGCCAGAGGCTGAATAGAGCCCTTCTTGTGTTATTCGTTTTGCAGTTCAGACTCAAGCTCAATGTGGAAGGATCCGGGATCAGCGATTATCGACGCGCAGGTAGCTGCCTGGCTGCACAAGCCAGCATTAGGGTGCAGTGCTGCGCGTGCAAGCTAGTACGTGCCCAAGACAGGCAGCGTCAACCTGAGCGTTGTGAAGCCAACCAAAAGAGCAGAGAGATACAGCACAGAACATAGAGAGCGTTTATCTATCGCCTTTGGTGGAAAACAGGTCACAACACCTTTCAAACCCAACTCACATGAATCTTTCTATGAAAAATGTCCTCAGGGATCAGGAACGCAAAACGTGTTGATGTACACCCCACCACATTCCCGATACCCAGACTAAGCAACCAATACATCGAACCGCACTGTACCCACGGTGCGGATCATTTTAAGGCACACTGCCCAAAAGAGCTCTCTGTGATCAAAAATCTATTTTGAAGTATTCAAGTACCCGAAGCAATATTAAATTTAATGTGACATGCCCGGAGCAATGAAATTCCTTTACCATAATCATTATAACCCAGTACCTAACACAAACTTCACCCTACTCAAAGACAACGTACTCTTATCCTTGAATGGACTCCTGAGTCCCGTACACTCTGGGTAGGTGCTCTCTATATCATCAGCAAGTCTCCCTAGCTGCGCCTGATGACAGGCAAAGAGAAGGTGCTCGACGAGCGGCTCAAATGCCATTGTATCCTTATACCACTCATCCAACATGGCCGCCTTTCTTGCTCTGCTATTGAAGCGGTGTTGCTCGCGTAAGTCTCGCATCCGGTCCATGTCAAACGCCAGGGCGCGCATGAACAGGTCTTCTTTGCCGCCGAGCTGAGATGCAATCGCGGAGAATGTCTCCACACGCCGTCCCTCGTCATGAAGCATGGTTGAATTCGGGGGGAGCGGACCTGCAATCAATGCACAGGCAGAATGGGTTAGTAAAAAATTTGCGTGCATCCGGAAATGTATATTTCGGCATGGTGGGTTGGATAGTAAAGAGGTCGACCACCACATATCTAGTCTACAAAACATTCAACACTCGATATATACAATATAGCTGCCACGGTGACTAGACTTCCCATACTTAGAGTACTCTGGCTTTGACGCCTTGATGGGAAATACTTTTTTTTCTTCGCTAGACTTCATAGCGAAAACTTTGGCCACTTATTCTGAGCTCTGCTATGGAGCCCTGACAAGGTCAAATACATCTAGCTGTCTGAAGGTTGAACATGGGTATAGCTCTGCAGGCGCGAAAACTATGCCTAACTGGCCTTTTCCAAGAGTGTGAACCCTTGATTTTGGTTGGCTTGCACACTATTTGGAGAAGGAAGCAACAAGTAATATTGTTTGGCCATCAACAAGGTCAGCCATATTCTAGTGACAGGATCCATACAAATATTGCACGAGCTACGCCACTGGCTCTGTGCTGCTTTAGTAAAACTGGTCAAGAGATTCCTGGCCAGTTGAACATCCTCCCATCTGAGTGTTGCAAACAAGCTCGTGTCTTCGCTCTAAACAATAACTTTACGGAAAAATCATTTTCTTGTTGCGCAACAAATTAGACTACTCGCACATGAGCGAGAGCAATCAAACTATTACGTAGACACTGAAAATGATTGCCTTCTCGAATACTATATCTAGCTCCGAAGACGTGACTTTGCTGACAACACATATGGCACTGCATGTTATCAGTACAACAAACACTTGATTGTATCGGAATGATTGGAACGGGACATCAGCTGCTATGTACTGGTGGATTTTTTCAGCATCCAGAGCTGTACAAGTATTCGCTTGTGGACTTCATCAAGCAGTCGTGGCGGCTCAAGACCATTTCGCAACAGGAGCGCCGGCTTTACAATCTCAATATCACTCACCGGCACGGGGTTCCTTCTGGCCAGTTTGCCGTGAGCGAAGATCAGGAACGCGGGGCGTATCCGCAATCAGACGCTTCACTGACTGCCGTGGCTGTGAGAACACAAAAACAAGCACATGGTATGCACAACAATTCCTGATGCTACCAGTCGAGAGGAAGAAGCACAATCATATTGATGCCCCCCTGCACACTCACACACCTACACACCCACGTACATGTACATACACTTCCCACAAGCATCCCTTCTCTCACCATAATGGCATAAGTGCCCATGCATGTGCAGGTATTCATGTATAAGAATCACATGAATTGCACGGGGAAACCTTGCACGTGCAAGATGAGAATGCCATGCGTGCACCCACAATCGACATACCAACTGGAACTCGTCCAGAGCCAGAACCTCCACAAAAGCTAGGAGACCGATCTTCAGCAAGGATTCCAGCAGTTTACACAGCTTCGGCTGGTGACTGCTCTGACACCAATACTTCCAGAAGGAGTCCGCGTCCTCAACAGCATGCTCGCTCAGCTCTCGTTCATTGATCTCGTTCAGGAACGCAATTGTACTCCAGTCACACTTGATGAGTGGGTTGCTGGAAACCAGCACCAGTTCCTTGGTAAGAGCTTTCCAAGCAGAGTGGCCGCTAGGAATGTCACATAGCAACATGTCCAGATAGTCTACGAAAGCAATGATTTAAAAACAAAACAGAAACACTGTGTGATACCGTGTTCTAAAATTTCTATGACACTCCTTACATGACACGTGATCATTGCCGGGGCCATGGACACTAGGCGGCCTTCCCGCTGCGGGCATAATCAGGCCATCAGGACAGTTTGACGTTATTTCGGGAATATCAAGACCGTTTGACGTCATTTCGGGAAAAATTTGACCTTTCGACCCTTGACGTTCCGTATTATGTTGCTTCGTGCTGTAAGAAATCAAATCAAGCATGCTTTGTCTGTCATGATGGCTGAATCTTGCCCTTGCCTACGGCCCTTGGGCTGCGCAGGCTCGGGCAAGATTCAGCCATCATGACCTCCTGAGCATGCTTGATTACATACATCATATGAGTGAATACGCACCCACTAACATGTCCACCGACATGCAATCCAAATAATATGGTTGCACACAGGCACCCGCATACCCCCCAACACACACATACCACCACCACCATAAACACGCATTTCTCATAGGTTCACATGCATGCATACTATAATACAACACTTGTTATGTGGCTCTCCCGGAATGATGGGGGAGAGAATCAGAAAGAGACAATCCAAAGGGACTCTCTCTCTCTCTCTCTCCCTCTCTGTCTCTCTATCTCTGTCTGTCTGTCTGTCTGTCTGTCTGTCTGTCTGTCTGTCTGTCTCTCTCTCTCTCTCTCTCTCTCTCTCTCTCTCTCTCTGTGTCTCGCTCTCTCTCTCTCTCTCTCTCTCTCTCTCTCTCTCTCTCTCTCTCTCTCTCTCTCTCTCTCTCTCTCTCTCTCTCTCTCTCTCTCTCACACACACACACACACACGCGCTGGCTCTTTCTCTGTTTCTCTCCCTTAATTACGCTTTTACTTGTATGTGCCCAGACTGGACTCTGGCCAGCACTTGTGCATTCATGATATGTATCAACACCTATGACACAAGCAGAGGCTACAATGAAGCCATCGTCTTGCTTGCCGCATTTTCCGGTAGTACTGTATTAGCCACGTCTTCAATTCTCAAAAATAGGCCAAAAACACACCATGCGACCTTTTACCCAAGATGCGCATTAGCACATGCACAAAAGCGCACAACATGAATGTGATATTTTGCCCCAAGAGCCGGGCAGAGAAATAGGGGGGGGGGGGGTGTTAACATTATGTACATGCACATGGGTGTCGCAAATTCCCCCTAAACTACAGCATTCAGATCGTGTTTCGTATCGAATCAACTGTCCCTATTGTCACCCTCCCACTCCCAGTGACCTGGCCCGGTGGGGTTGGAGTGCTCAAGGGCCAAAGAGAGATTATGCGAATGATTCCATGGGGTAAGTCAGTGCCTCAGTGGAACTGTTCATGCGCAATAAGCATACAGCAGAACCGCTTTTGCACGCTATGTATGCGTGACATGGAGGCGTGTGCCGCTAGGGCAGCGCTGTGACACGACTAACTTCGCCAAAGCATCTCAACTGATATAAGTGCAATCGCATAACGTCTGTGACCAATGTCACACAATACGTTAAAGGGGAAGTATACCCTAAAATCAAATTTTCACCAGTTGTAGTCTTCTGGGTGCTGAGTCGAATGGTCTTGGTCCGAGGAAGCTGCGACGCTCCCTTCCTACTTGAATCCCAATCGAACTCGCGCACTTCCACCGAAACTGGGTGACTGCGCCCTACTAGATGGGGATTTGTATGCAAAATATCACTAAAAGCGCCATTTCGTTCTTATAAAAGCACGGATGACCGCGATTGGCCCATATGTTGTAGTCTTTGGACGCTGAGTCGACTGGTTTTGGTCCGAAAAGGCTGCGATGCAGCGTTCCTCCTTTATTCCCAATCGAACATGGTTGAAGAAGCGGTCACGTGCTCCTGGGTGCCCAAATCACCTGGTCACCGCGCCAGCAGGCGACAACTTTCACACCAAGGTTCAACTCGAGTTCAACTCGAGTGACAGGACTGCACCCAAAAAAGGTCATACAGGCTAGTAAGTTGTACCCTGCAGGCACGGTGACCAGGTGACTGGTGTACGCAGGAGCACGTGACCGCTTGTTCAACCATGTTCGATTGGGAATAAAGGAGGAACGCTGCATCGCAGCCTTTTCGGACCAAAACCAGTCGACTCAGCGCCCAAAAGACTACAACATATGGGCCAATCGCGGTCATCCGTGCTTTTATAAGAACGAACTGGCGCTTTTAGTGACATTTTGCATACAAATCCCCATCTAGTAGGGCGCAGTCACCCAGTTTCGGTGGAAGTGCGCGAGTTCGATTGGGAATAAAGGAGGAAGGGAGCGTCTCAGCTTCCTCGGACCAAGACCATTCGACTCAGCACCCCGAAGACTACAACTGGTTAAAATTTGATGTTAGGGTATACTTCCCCTTTAATGACTCAGTGCCGATTGGGGGTTCGGGTTCAGCACAACGGTGGCTGCGACGAGAAGGAGAGTCATCTGAAAACTACTTCTTGGCGAGCACAACTAAAATGTATATTAAAGTAACTTCACTTACAAATACGCTCCTGCACAATAGCTTTGAATTCAGGCTTCTCGTTCCATTTGTGTTCCTCCAGAAACAGCGAAGGATTGAGGCGCACAATGGTCACGAAAAATTGCCTAAGCAGTTCCCAGTCGTTCAACCTCGTCACAAGATCCACCAGGTCCTCCATGGCTGAGCTGCGTGTGTCCACCGTGCTCTTCTTTTTGATCTTGTCCGCCTCTCGCCGATCCTGCAGCTCGCAGCACAGGTGCGGCAGGATTTGACACGCATCGCACTCCGACACAATGCAAACGGACTGGTCATTGAGGAAATCTTTGGCCCTCTCCAAACGCTCCTCTTCGTTTTTCTCCTGCAAAGAGCAGTCGCTCATTTGCTGGCTCACACTGGACGCGGACGAATAAGACATGTTTCTCTGCACGGATACGTCCGACATGTCGCCGTAACTACTGGCCGACATGGCTCCGACTGCCCGCTCGGGGAAGTAAATAATTAAGACTCGGCGGCTGTCACAGGCCTCGTATTTCTTTCTTGGCTCTGCCAAACTACTATCAACAGAACAGTAGTTGTTTCGCGCCGGGCTTATTATTATTATTATTATTATTATTACTAGTATGATCACTATTGAAAAATCGGGACAACGGTGACTTTGACTCTTTTGTTTGAGCTTCTGTTGGCTGCTGTCATACCACTAACGAGGTGGTTGCGTGTCGCTCGTTTACCGTGTAGACGTCTACTAGTGACCACCCGAACTGCAAAGGTAAATAGTCCCATGAAGAACAAGAAGTCTTGTGCAGAAACAGCTTTTTTATTTCCCTGCATTAGCACAGGAAGCACAGTCATAGGCCTACAGTCCATTCACTAAGTCTACAAGTGTGCACTCTTTTCCAGTCAAACTCAAAGGGCCAATAAAAGTGTACACTCTTTTCCATCCAGTCAAAGGGCCCCAGGCCATGGGTTCTACGTGTAGGCGCTAGGCCAGCGCCAGCCTGACAGGGGAATACCCCACGTGGATGCATTATGACTTCTTCAAAGACAAAGCAGCGGCGCATGCAAATGCACGGAAATCAGCCAGCAAAGTGAGCTAAAAAAATCAATTTTCCATTTTCTCTCTCAAATTTGGACAGATTTTGATCCGGTCTTTTTTAAGGAGCAGTAAGCAAGCGTGCATTCACTTTAAAGAAAAAATTGCCTTGTATTTGTACATAGTCGTATGATGGGAGCATGTAATAACAGTGCACACTTATAGTGACCAGGCAGGCACAGTGGGTTGGTCAAAGACCATGATTGAGATACGAGAGGTACCTGGTTCAAGTCCTGCCTGGGAGCGGTTTTTCCAGCCGTGCTGCTACCCACAGTCAACTGGGAACTTGTGGCCAGGCACAAGGGGTACATGGATGCAGCTAATGGGGTCGCTTTCGGCACTTGTGCCAGTGGTTGTGAGACTTACCCACTCACCCCCACCGTTAGGCGCTGCATCTGCCGCTAGGGTTTATCGGGTGTTAGCGGCCGTCGTGAGTTCCCTTCGGGAACGGATACGATAATTTACTTTTTTACTTTTTTTTACTTATAGTTATAGTGAATGGACTGTAGTCATTTACATCACGATCGGTAAATCTACGTACATGTACAATGTCATGTAGCTACTTACTGAGTCTGTCTGTACTGAGTACTGAGTCTGTTATGTAGTCAAAGGTCTGTGCTAGTAAAACTGGTACTGCACTGGTAGATCGATCTACTATTGAGTGCTTCCAAAGGGAGGGAAATACGCCAGTGGAAAATGAATGTCATGTTGAACTTGGAAAGGAGACGAAGGGGGTACGCGATTGCTGGAGAAAGAAGTCGAAGAAGCTCATGACTGATGCCATCAACTCCTGTGGCCTTCTTCAGCTTTAATTGACTAATCTATTTCTTGATGCGGGATAGGGTTGTGACAGAGGTAAGTGGAGGTAATACCCGTATGTGGTGTTGTGGGAAGTCAGGCACAGACCAAGAAGGATCATCTTTGGTCCCGAAGTTTACGAACTGCGTATTTAGCGCGTCAGCAACGGCAACCGGATCCGTATGAGCAGTATTCCCCTCACAGAGCTGGGCTACGCCATTACCATCCGAAGAGGCAGTAGTAACTGATCGTGCTTGACGGATAAACTGAAGAAGGTTGGGTGCTGGAAGGTTGCCGTGGGCTGAGCTGAGGGACGTCAATGAGGAGATAAACTCACGATGGGCTTTGCGAGACATATACCGGGCCTTGTTCCGCTCAGGTTTGTAATGGGTGACGTTGTCAGGAGTGGGGTGCTTCTTGTACAGGCTGTAGGAGTCTCGCTTGAGCTTTAACTGAATTCTTAGTGCCGGAGTGAGCCCCGGGGGATTAACTTTATTGCGGCCTGGACGTGATGTTTGGACTTTCGCTGGCAAGAATGAGGAGCATACAATAAATAAAGCGTGGTAGAAAGCTGTCAAGGTAGTATCCACATTTTGATCTTGGGGTCTTAGTTAGGAAGGGTACTTGCCGGAACCTCTATCTGGGGAAGCTGCAATGCAGTATTCTATTCTAGGAGTAGGCTGAAGCAGCAGCGTATCGCAGCTAGCTGTATAATTCTGTTTGTCATGAAACCTTCTTCTTGATAGAAGCACATCAACGCACTGCTCACTGCTCCCTATGCACACCAGGCTGAGATGCGTGCTCCACTGATCACTGCCCACAGGGCCGACCTGATGCGTGCCGCGCACTGTATGTTTGTGTCTGTCTGTCTTTCAGTCTCTGTCTGCTTCTATTTCTCTCTGCCTCGGTTTCTCGCTGTATCTGTCTATCAATGTCTCTGTCTCTCTCCATCTCTCTCTGTCTGTCCCCGTCTTTGTCTCTGTTTCTCTCCATCTTTCTCTCTATCTCGCTCTGTGTTCTCTCTCGATCTATCTACAATGTATGTCTCTCTTTGTGTCAGTCTTTGGGTACTTCGCTGTCTCTCATTGTCTCTCTGTATCCATCTATGTCTTTGTGTCTTTCTCTCTCTGTCTCGCGCTGTCTGACTATTGTACTCTGTCTCTCGCTCTATCTACGCCTCTGTCTGTGTGTGTGTATATGTGAGTGCGTGTGTCTCTTTCTCTCTCTCTCTCTCTCTCTCTCTCTCTCTCTCTCTCTCTCTCTCTCTCTCTCTCTCTCTCCTCTCTCTCTCCTCTCTCTCTCTCTTTCTCTCTCTCTCTCTCTCTCTCTCTCTCTCTCTCTCTCTCTCTCTCTCTCTCTCTATCTATCTATCTATCTATCTATCTATCTATCTATCTATCTATCTATCTATCTATGTAGACAGATGTCTTAAGTCCCTAGGCTGCTTACAGTGTTCAATGTCCTGTGGACAGAGCCAGTAATACAAATATTACACAGCAATGAATCAAACAAGTCTCTTTCCGCTGTTACTCCGAGTTTCGTGACAAAACACTTCATCAGACAGCATATGACCAAGACAAACAATCACTAGAATATATACGGAAAGAAGGCAGAGGTGATGGAGGTACATTTCAATAGCGCGAGGAAAAGGGATGACAAAATCAGCATGATTATAAGAGGAAAAAGATGTTGAGAGTATAGAGAGAATAGCCTGGGTAGAGGAACAGCGCGATTCTCTGGCAACACATCAGTACAGGTTTGTGCTGCATTGTTACGCATCACATAGTCATTGTGGCCTAGGGTTGTAACAATGGTGATGTGGATCACTCACGCGCCAGGCAAGGGGTGACTACCAGCACCACACCCGCCAAGGCATTGGAAAACCGGCGACAGAAGCCAAGATCCGCCAAAGCGCGTGAGCCATGAGCCCTGGGGAGTGCTCACCATTCCCGCGCCACGCGGAACCCAGCCCCGACCGCCACCTCTCAGGCCCCGACGGGCTATACAGCCACCCCCAGCCTGGCGTGGCTCATGTATTTGTCTTTCATCACGTTACCCTGCTGAGTTGAAACTTGTTGGCATGACGGCATTTATTATTATTATTATTATTATTTATTAAATTTTTTGGAGATTAACTCGCTCCTCTTATTCAGGCGTGTGCTCCTGTCGGCGGTGATGATGCGGAATTTCTCCGTCACGCATAGGTAATGGTTGCACCGTTTGCTGACGTTGCTGTACCCTTTAGCTTGCTCAGCAATCCTCCACTTGATGGTGACCGGTGCGTTCGTCTCTTTTAGCCGCCATACATGCTTTGACAGCTCCATGTTGTTCTTCCTTGACTCCATGTTCATGTCGGACTTGTGGTTATAGTATCGCTTCTTAAATGGTGGCTCAGTTGATCCAATGTACACCTTCTGTTCATTTTCTTTCCCCACGTGCGCTTCATAAACTACCTCCTGCGCTTGGCATCGGCCGTCCAGCGGGCACTCCGGTTGAGCTCGGCAGTTACATGGCTTTTCGACGCGCTTCGGCTCAAGTAGCATCTTGTTGTGCCCGTTTATCACTGCGGCTACGTTGGGCATACAACTGTAGCTAACTTTGACGTTATTTTTGTTGAATATTTTCTGCAGCTTTGAATTGGCAGGGAAGTGCTTCTGCACCACTCGCAAGAATGTCGCCGCCACATTCGTGCTCACATTCTTGCTGAAAGGCGGGTTGAACCATATCACTTTCCTCTTGCGGTTCTTTCTGTTCCTTCCTGTAGCAAGTGCGTTCTGGTATAACGGCGCTGCCTCGTCGAACGCCTGCTGATCGGCCGATATACCTGACACTCTCCGCTCAATCGGGGTGGCTGTTTTGCCCGTCGGGGCCGGGGAGGTGGCGGTTGGGGCTGGGTTCCGCGTGGCGCGGGAATGGTGAGCACTCCCCAGGCCTCATGGCTCACGCGCTTTGGCGGATCTTGGCTTCTGTCGCCGGTTTTCCGATGCCTTGGCGGGTGTGGTAGTCACCCCCTTGCCTGGCGCGTGAGTGATCCACATCACCATTGTTACCACCCTAGGCCACAATGACTATGTGATGTGTAACAATGCAGCACAAATCTGTACTGATGTGTTGCCAGAGAATCGCGCTGTTCCTCTACCCAGGCTATTCTCTCTATACTCTCAACATCTT